TATGATGGTGATCCTATAAGATTAGCCTAGGTGTGTAGTAGGCTATACCACCTAGGTTTGTGTAAGTACACTCCATGATGTTCACACAATGACAAAATTGCATAACAATGCATTTCTCAGAACGTATCCCCATCATTAAGTATGCATGACTCTGTGGATATTAAACAATATACTCTTACACAACCAATGGGTCAAAGCAAAAATCAAAAGAGAAATTAGAAAATACTTTGAGAAAAATGAAAATGAATACAGAATATACCAAACTTTATGGGCTGCAGCAAAAGGAATGTTCAGAGGGAAATCTATAGCTGTTAACGCCTACACCAAAAAAAAAAAAGATCTCAGGTAAATAACTTCACATCTTAAGGAGCAAGGAAAACAAGAGCAAACTAAACTGAAAGCTAGCAGAAGGATGGAAATAATAAAGATTACAATGAAGATAAACAGCCTTTTTTTGTAGAAATGGAAAAGCTGATCCTAAAATTCATATGGAATTGCAAGGGACCCCAAACAGCCAAACCATAGAGAAGAAAAAGTTGTAGGACATACACTTCCCAATTTCAAAACTTACTACAAAGCTACATAATCAAAACAACGTGGTACTGGCATAAAGACAGACATACATTAATGGAATATAATTGAGAGTCCAAAATTAAACTCATACAACTATGGTCAATTGATTTTCAACAAGTGTGCCAAGATCATCCAAGGGAGAAAGATTTGTCTGTTCAACAAATGGTGCTGGGACTAAATATCCACATGCAAAATAATAAAGTTGGACCCTTACTTCACACCATATACAAAAATTAACTCAAAAAAGATCAAAGACCTAAATGGAACAGTTAAAACAATAAAACTCTTAGAAGAAAACATAGGTAGAAACCTTCATGATTGTGGACTTGGCAATGGTTTTTTAGATGTGACACTAAAGGCACAAGCAACAAAAGAAAAAACAGATAAACTGGACTTCATCAAAATTAAAAACATCTGTGCATCAAAAGACACCATCAAAAAAGTGAAAACATAACAAAGAATGGCAGAAAATATCTGCAAATCATATATCCAATAAGGGTCTAGTATCCAGAATATATAAAGAACTCTTACAACTCAACAGCACAAAGACAAACAATCCAAGTAAAAAATGGGCAAAAGGCTTGAATAGATATTTCTCCCAAGATATACAAATGACCAACAAGCACATGAAAAAATACTCAACATCGTTAATCACTAGGGAAATGCAAGTCAAAACCACAATACGGTACCACTTCACAAACACTAAGATGGCTATAATTAAAAAAAAAAACAGAAAAATAACCAGGATTGGCAAAGATGTGGAGAAACTGGAAGCCTCATACACTGCTGGTGAGAATGTAAAACGGTGCAGCTGTTGTGGAAAAGTTTGGCGGTTCCCCAAAAACTTAAACATAGAATTTCCATATAACCCAGCAATTCCACTCCTGGGTATACAGCCAAAAGAACTGAAAACAGATGTTCAGACAAAGCTTGTACATGAATGTTCACGGTAGCACTATTCACAACAGCCAAAAGGTGGAAACAACTCAAATGTCCATCAGCTGATAAATGGATAACAAAATGTGGTATCATCCATACAACGCAATCTTATTCAACCTTAGAAAGGAATGAAGTACTGACACATGCTACAACACGGATGAACCTTGAAAACATTACGCTAAGAGAAAGAAGTCAGACACAAAGTCCACACACTTTATGATTCCATTTATATGAAATATTCAGAACAGGAGAATCCATAGCCACAGAAAGCAAATTAGTTCTTGCTAAGGGCTGGGGGAGTGGGAATGGGAGTGACCGCTTAATGGGTACAGAGTTTCCTTTTGGGGTAATGAAAATGTTCCAGAACTAGACAGTAGTGATGGTTGCACAACATTGTGAATGTACTAAATGCCACTGAATTGTACATTTTAAAATGATTTAAATGGTAAGTTTTACACTATGTGTATTTTGCCACTATATATATGTAGACTTATACCACCCCAAAATAAATGGAGTTAAAAGGGAGAGAATATTGTATATATAATTACTATATAATCAGATCACATACAGTATAATTATTTTTTAAACTGGGGGAGAATGGAGAGAACATATGCAAAAAATGTTGTTTTATCTGTTTTCAAAATTGAATACTTGTCATTCTTAGACTGTTGTATACATAACGTGGGAACAAGTAAATGACTAACTGGGGATATTCTAATTCCACCATCCCCTGTGTCTTTGAGAACTAGGATTCTGGAAGGATCAGTCCAATAGCTATGAGCATCCCCAGCACTCAGACTGTGATTTTGAAATACCAATGCAAACTGAAAAAAAAAAACTAGGACGTCTTCAAAAAATGGCTGATTCCAGGTCTGGGACAGGAGATGTACAAGATGAGGCTGGAACATCTTGTCATCTCAGGTAGCAAAGTAGTTATCAAAGACTACAAGGGTCATGCCCAAAGGACTTGGGAGCCAACTTGAAGAGGCTTCCTCTGGCCAAAGATGGGACAATTTGAGCTCCAATACTGTTAATAATTGCAATGGATTAAAATATATCCAATATATTTAAATACATAAGTTTATAATGATATTAAATAAAAACAACTAGTTACCTTTAGAGGACAGGGAAGCAATTCATTATCTTGAAAACTGGTAAATAAAGGGAAAGAATCAAGCATTTATCCTGCCTTTCCTATATGAAGTGTACCACTGGGTGACCAAATGGTAGATGAGGGGAAGTGTCTCTTCATATTAGTAGTCCAACTAATAAAAAGAAATGATAGAATTAGAATAGCACCATATTGCAACCCCCAATGAATAAATGGATCTAGGCATTAAGCATCAACAGTTGCTAACAATAATTGATAAACTACATTTCTTTTGTGTGGTTTTCTAGGCCTGTTTTATTTTAAAAAATATGAAGGAGAGAGACAGATAGGACATCAAAGTTACAAAAGAAGAGAGAGAAGGGGGTAGAGGCAATTCTTAAATCCATACTGGCTGAGAATTTTCCAGAACTGATAAAAAGATCCATCCACAGATATTTTTGATGAGGATATATACGTAACAGGCAGATGCAAAGGAAATGAACTGAAAGAACACACAATAAACTGAAAACAATAGTGACAGCGAGAGAGAGCAGGATTAGGGGTGGGGAGCTAATCAAAATGGACTTGAGCTTTATCTGTAATATCTCAGCTTTTTTTAAGGAGAATACATTTATATATAAATTTTATTTTATTTTATTTTATTTTATTTTTTTTTTTTAAGATTTTTTATTTATTTTATTTTTTCCCCCCAAAGCCCCAGTGGATAGTTGTGTGTCGTAGCTGCACATCCTTCTAGTTGCTGTATGCGGGACTCGGCCTCAGGATGAACGGAGAAGTGGTGCCTCGATGCGCACCCGGGATCCGAACCCGGGCCGCCAGCATCGCAGCGCGCGCACTTAACCACCAAGCCACAGGGCCGGCCCTATATATAAATTTTAAATTTTATTTATTTATTTTTTCCCCCAAAGCCCCAGTAGATAGTTGTATGTCATAGATGCACATCCTTCTAGCCGCTGTACGTGGGACGTGGCCTCAGCATGGCCGGAGAAGCGGTGCGTCTGTGTGCGCCCAGGGTTCCGAACTCGGGCCGCCAGCATTGGAGCGCGCGCACTTAACCACTAAGCCATGGGGCCGGCCCATATATATAAATTTTAAAAACATCCTTGTTGAGTGAGAAAAGTGCTATCAACAGAAATGTCAGATCCACGAAGGCAGATGGATTCAAGTAGTCAAAGGGCTGAATAAGCTTATTCAACAGGAGAAGTTATTTCTCACAACCCTGAATTGGGCAACCGACAAACATTCCTAGTACTAAGAAATTTCCAGCAAAAAAAAAAAAAAAAATAGATACAATTCTTTCTCTACCAGTTATCTTATCTTCAAGGAGTACTTAGAACAGCTTCAGAGAATAAAAAATCCCCAGAGTCATTCTCAGAAAATAAAAACTTCAATACTTAAAAAAAAAACAAAAGCAGGGCCAGCCATGTGGCGTAGTGGTTAAGTCTGCGCGCTCTGCTTCAATGGCCCATGGTTCGCAGGTTTGAATCCTGGGCATGGACCTATGCACCGCTCATCAAGCCATGCTGTGGCAGGCATCCCACATATAAATATTTTTTTTCCCCCCAAAGCCCCAGTAGATAGTTGTACGTCATAGCTGCACATCCTTCTAGTTGCTGTATGTGGGACGCGGCCTCAGCATGGCCAGAGAAGCGGTGCGTCGGTGCGCGCCCGGGATCCGAATCCGGGCCACCAGTAGCGGAGCGCGCGCACTTAACCGCTAAGCCACGGGGCTGGCCCAGACAGCCCACATATAAAGTAGAGGAAGATGGGCACAGATGTTAGCTCAGGGCTAATCTTCCTCAGCAAAGAGAGGCGGATTGGCAACAGATGCTAGCTCAGGGCTAATCTTCCTCACACACATGAAAAAAAGTAAAAAAACAAAAACAAAAAAAACACTACACTACCCAAATGGCCCCCACCAGAGCTCTCTGAGGTACGCATGCTCCTGCAGCAGGACCTCTGCTCTTGCTGTTCTCCCCAGTGATCTCGAGCCTTAGCCCTTCACTTCCTGCAGGTCTCAGCTCAAACGTCACATCCTCAGGGAGGCCTTCCCAGACCACGCTTTCCTCTCTAGACTAGCATTCTCCATCCTCCTTTCCCCTATGCTGCTTTAGTTTTCTTCAGAGAGGTATGGCTACTTGGCATGTTATATATCGATGATGTTTACAGGTTTACTCTCCCACCCAAATGTGAGCTCCATGCTCCATGACTTTAGTCAGTTTCTTTCCCAGTTGTGTCCCCAGCACCTAGAACAGCACCTGGCACATAGTAGAGGTCCACGAGTATCTTTTGAAGGAATGGCTGAATGGGTTCCCCAAATCCCGCAGAAGCCCCAGACGGGGCTGAGCAAGGGCGGGGGAGGAAGAGCGGGGCTCACCTCCACGTTCCAGACGTAGGAGCTGTGGAAGAGCTCCGACCACATCTTGCCTACTTTGTTGATGTCCTTGACATCCCAGATGTAGATGCTGTGGTCCTTATACACACAGGACAGCCGCTGGTGGATGGGGTCGAAGGTCAGTGCCACCGTATCTGGGTAGACTGCTTCTGCCTTCCTGCGGAAGAGGAAGCTAACAAAGCCACACGGGTCATCAATCACCATCAATGTCACTGTGAGTAGTAACAGCCACCTCTGGTGACACTCGAGCTGTCTTATGCCTGGCAAGGCCATGGTGGTCCACCTCTCTCACTCCAACTCCACTTACCCCTCTTTCCTCTCCCTCTGCTGTGCTTCCAATAGGGGTTGTAAACTGGAAGCTTCTGCTTGGCCCCTGAGACCATTTGAATTTTCGACTCCAGTTAACATTTCTCTCCCCTCATTTCACTCAATCCAAGCTCACATACCTTAGGCCTTCTTTCTCATCAGCCCTACCAACACATGATCAAAAATCCCCGTGCAAGGCAGCTGGGGAGCCGCCCCTCACCTGAGGCCTCCCTACAAAGGCTACGGTTTACTGAGCACTTACTGCATGCGGAGCAAGAGCTTTAGCTGCACTGAATTCCCATGACCTCCATGATAGGGAGTATATTTTACAGATGAGGAAACGGAGGCACAGGTTGATACAGTGACCTGTCTGAGGCCACATGGCACACAGCAGAAGGCGGCAGACTGGGCAGCCCGGCTACCCCAACACACCACCATCTGTGGGTGCTCAGCCTCTCTTTCCTTTGAGTAAGCCAGTCACCCCTTCCAGGCTCTCTCTTAGAAAAGGTACCCAGGAGCTAATGTTCAGCAATCTACAAAGAGGCAGCCCCAGGCACCCAGCACCCCCTGGTTAGGTAGCCCTTACCCCCACAAAACAGACTTACGACAAAGAGGAAGACAGGCTACAGCTCAGCGCTTCCACCCGCTCTCGGCATGGCAGCCAGAGGATCTAACGCTCAAGGTGTGACCACATAACACCAACGCCTGAAACCCCCCTGGCTGCCCATGACCTCAGAACAGACTATATGCTCCTCCCGGTGGCCTCCATCCGTGCTCACCCGTCTCCTACCACCTCCCCTGGCACACTGGGCCCATAGCTGTTCCTGCGACACACCAAGCCCAGCGTGCTATCCCCTTAAGCTGTTAACGCTTGCTGTCAGGACTCAGCTCTCCACACAGCTGGCTCCTTCTCCCAGAGAGGCCTCTCCTGGCTACCCAATCAACACAGCCCCACCCCCAGGCACTCTCCTCCCTGAGCCTGCTTTATTTCACCAAAGCCTTCATGACTTTCTGAAATGATCTTGCGTACTCGTTTATCATCGAGCTCCCTCACTAGACTGCAGACTTCAAGGCGGCAGAGATTTTGCTGCCTTGGTACAGCTGTATCCTGCTTCCAGCCCAGGCTGGCCAGATATGTAGATGGATCTGGAAGCATGGATGG